ACACAAAGGGAGATGCTCCTTGTAGGAGCTTTGCAGAAGCAGAGGGACCGAGGTCAGGCAATGGCATGCCGGAGTCCTGCCTCTCACTCTTCAGAAACCAGCTGCAGTTCTTCACTAACCTCTGCTGGGAGGTTAGTGGCCACTTCTCTGTTGTATCACGGTTGCGTTCACTGTCAAAGACGGGATCCCAGAAACTTGCTGAAAAGAGGAGGTCCAGCAAGGTGCCATAAGCCCACTTCAGTGCCTGTGGGCCTTGGTTTTTTAAACTAAAGTTAATGAATGTGTATTTTTCACAAGCACTTAGGTGAACTAGAGAGAAGGAAGTGTTCTCAGGATGTGTTCAAAGCCACGAGGGTTTTAATTTTAAAAAGAAACACAGTCCAGGCTGCATCCTCCTATTCCCTCTCCTTCTTTTCCCTTGATAGGGAGCTGGACATGGGGCATGCATCAGTCTGTGTTGACAAACATGTTGATGTCACCCATAATTTTGTGACAACTGTCCAGCACTGTCCCCAACACCATGCTAGTCTTGGTGGTAAAATTTCTTGGTATTTGTGGGAGTCCTCTGTCTTTCTATGTCCTAAAATACTTTTAACCACTTTTCTCTGAAACAGCTCCCACATTTGATTGGGTGTGAAATGGTAACAGCAGAATGATGAGTGTGGACATGATCTGTTTGGTTTTTTTGGTCTCTTGGTTGAAACTTTAAAAAAAAACGCCCCACCGAAGGGCCTGTCACCTTGCTACCCATCCATACTTAATACCTATTTACCAGCCCTCATAGGCCATATTGAAGTTGCACCTTTTGAACCACGTAATTGTATTTACTAGGGCAAAGGTGTGTACTACAGATTAGTATTATATTATTTTAATGGATTTAAATAATTTATAAGTATGCTGAGTGTAAATTTTTAAATGACTATGTATTGTAAAAGGACATATCCTGTGAAATATAATATTTTACTGTTAAACAGAATAATTCTCTAAGAAGAATGATTTATCTCACCCATGGAACTGATTACATTCCTGATAACAATCAACAAGCACTTTGTAATTTCTTTTTGGGTTTTCTGGGGGGGCCGTGGGGAGCAAGACATTATCTGTATAAAGTCCAGTTTGTGTCATTCAAAATATGTACTGTATGGCTACACAAGCAGCTTGAACAAATCACTCCAATGGCTCATTAAAGAACAAAAGCTTCCAGAAGCCGCAATACGTGTGGTTTGTTTTCTGACCATCTTGGCTCCCATCCTAATGCACTCCAACCTGATCTCAAGGAACAAAAATGATTTTTATTAAACTGTTTTTTTTTTTAAAGGAAGGGACTGAGACCACGATCGACAAAGTGCAGAAATAGTAGTTACTGGAACTCAGCTGAATTCAAGTAAAGGCGAGATCTCAGCTGTTAGTTTACTGTAATGGGTGCTAGCTGTTAGCTGTCAAGACTTCACTGAATGAGTTTAGGACTAGCTGGGCAGGGAAGGCAATAAATCTACACTAGGGTCCTAACCAAAAAGGCCATGAGGAAGTAGCAATGTCTGCTGATAGCAGGCTCAGGAATTCAAACCTCATTTTCCCTTTTTGTTCTGCCACCACATCGCGTGATTTTGGGAAAGTCATTTGCCCTTTCTGGATGTTAGTTTTCCTATACAGAAATGAGTTCTCCTCCCAGGTTTACTTCTCTGGGTAGCTTCTACAGACTCTCTGGTCTACTTGGAAATTACTCCACCCCCCTGAACTTGGTTAGATGTCTTCTGTTCTCAACAGCTCCCAGTATTTATGGCATCAAAAAACTTTGATGTCAGCCTCTCATCTAGTGAGACTGACTCACACTCTTGCTGACTTTTAGATCCCTAGCACCTAACAATAGGTGCCATCACTTGGTTGCTGGATGAGTGTGTGAGTGGATCAGGGTTACCCAAGTGCCAAACCAAGTCTAAGGTGAAATGGAAAAAAAATTTTTGCATTTTTCCCTAACAGTATATTCATTCAGTTTTTAAACTCTAAGATTATCCTTCCCATTTCTTCCTAAAGTTTTAATTTACATTTTTGCATTAAATTACATCAAAATGAATTGTAGTGAATTGTTTCTTTAAACTTCCTTAATTTGTCAAATAAGACCTGGAAATGTCTTTTTTAAAACTTGTTTCTGTGATTACTGAATTTACAACAAACTTCTATGAAGACAAGAGCATGAAGTTGTAAGGAGATACAAGTTATAAAGAGACAAGAGCTTTGATTTTTTAAAAAAATTGTTCTTTATCATATATTGGGCAGCAGTACGGTGTCTTAGACCAGGACCATAACCACAAGAGGAGATAAGACACATGTGATATCTGTTTAATCCTGTAGGCATCCCGCACACCTGGTCGAGAAGTGTGTCACTTCCCAGTTCTGTGTTGGCATTTATCCATTTATTCAAGAACTACTTAGTGAGCACTCATAGGTACTGCTGTGCACCTCTCCTTGGGGTACACTGGTGAACAAAACCAAACTCCCCACCCCTGTGGTGTTTGCATTCGAGTCGGGAAAATGACATCTAGGGAGACTAGTCACCCCTAAGATCCGGGCTCCACTCTCAGGCTATGTTTATTTGAAGGGTGTTTCCTGGCATCTTTGAGTCTCTCTGCCTTTTGACCTTGAAATAAGAATATGAAAACTAGCTGAAAAGAAAGGGCCAAATAGGCTACCCCAAAGACTACCTCTTGTGTATTTCATAACCAAAGACATTTCTGGCATTGAGGACAAAAAAAAAAAAAAAGTTTTCATAGTACCTTCTTCCCTAGCAAGAGCCCTAAATGCAATGAAAGACCTGTTACCCATTCGACTGTCAGTGGGGCGAAGTTATAGTAAAAGGTTGAATAAATCCTGGGATCCACTGAGAGCTGCATTGTATTAGGAAAACAGAAGCCTCTCTCTATATATTCCAAATGAGAAGGACTTAATATAGGAATTAGGGACTTAACATGAACATTAGAAGAACTGGGAAAACACAGGTCGAGAACAGCACAGATCTCAGCCAAAAGTTCCAAAGTTCTCAGCAGCTTTCCTGGGGACCACTGCAGTTCCAAAGAAGGCCCCTGGAAAATCTGTTTTCCTACACACCCAGCTGCAACTGCCTCCGCAGAATAATGGCTTCTGCTTATCTTCCAGACCTCATGTGCTGCCCTCCTTCCCTCAGTAGCTCATGGGGGAAGGGATCCTGGGAAATACAGATCTTGGAATCTTTGCAATGAACACAAGACTGTAGCAGGCAGTGGTATTGACACCAGGTTGACCGCAATCCAGCTTACGTACCTCCTCTGACTCTCCCAGACTTCCTCCTGGAGATCTTGGACAATCTCTTTTCCAACATAAAACTGCTGTGCTCCCATATCCGAGACACACTTTGTGAATTTCAGCAGGTGGCTTTTGCAGTCTTACATTCTCAAAAGTGAGGCTGTAGGATGAATGTACCTATCTGGTCACATTTCAACCCTGTTTCCTGCTGAAGCTCCTTTGCTCAGGCTTTCTATAAATAGGTCTTTAGTGTAATGGCATAGATGTTAAATGACCCAAATAACTGAGGGCACATATGCTTTTAGATGAAGAGTCTCAAGTAGTTTGAGTGCTTATTTTGGAAGGGCTTAAGCTGGACAGGATTTGCAGTACTCTTTCCTCTCTGGGCACCAACGTCGCTATTGTCATTTCCAGATCAGAGTGTTCTGAACCTCCATCAGGGCAGGATATCTCTGTCAGCTGGGAGAACATGTGCGGAGGCTAAAGTGCAAGGAAACCCCAAGGATTTTACTGATTTCTCACATGACCTTTTCCTTCTTTGAGCATTTCTTTGAAGACAGAAAATGCAACAAGCTCCTAGGTGTAGAGGGGGTGCGGGGAGGGGACAGTGCCAGAGCTGAGCTAGTTAAGTAGAGTCGCAGCAAATTTTGAGTCCTCTCTAAGCCTCCAGTTTTTCCATTTACAAAAGGGGATGATTGGTTCCTCCCCGAGAGTTAATGGGAGGATTAAATAACAATGCATGATCAGTGCTCACTTCATTGCCTGGTATATAAAGTGCCTGATATATGTTAACTTTTTATTATTGTTATTATTTCCTAGTCTTCTGGGTCTGTCTTTGACAAGGGTATGAGGTTCATCTGAGTTTCGTCCTCCATAAGGAATTAAGAAATGATGGTGATTCCCCTTCACAAAAAGTGCCTATACCTGCCTTGTGTTGAGATGGATGGTGCTCCCCTTTGTTTATGGAGAAGTGAGGAAGGATAAGCAGGAGAAAGAGGAAGAGAAGCCATGGGAGGGTGGGGCGCTGTCTGGAGGGAAGCTGGGCTGTTGAATCCTGTGGGAGGTTTTTCAGGGGCCTTGAACTGATTTCACCTGGATGCTGACGTGGGCTGGGAAACTTCCTCTGTGAGAGCCTCAAAGGAAGAGCTCTGGCCACATTCCTTTTCTGTTTTTGTGTTTCCACTTTTTTCATTGAGATCTAACATGAAACAGTGATGTGCACAGATCCTAAAGACACAGCTTAAATAATTTTTATGAATGAATGAATTTGTGAAACCACCTCCCAGGTCAAAATAAAGACCATCTCTAACACACCAGAAGGCCCCCACGGGTCCCTTCCCAATCATCCCGCCTCCTACTCCGGACAGCGCCGTGTCAGCTGCGGTCACCAGCAGTCAGCCTCGCCTGTTCTGGAACGTAAGCAGGACTTGTTCCTGGCTGGTTCTCTTCAACTTTCATGTCTGTGAAATTTATCCATGTTTTCACATGTATTGGTGGTTTATTCTTTTTTATTTCTGTTTAACATTATATGACTATACTACAATTTGTTAACCCATTCTACAGTTTGGGCTATTATGAATAAAGCTGCCATTAATATTCTTATATTGTGGTGGACAGTTCTGCTAGGTGCAGGTAGAATTACTGAGTCACAGGGCAGGCCAATGTTTCATTTCAGTAGATTGTTTTCCAAAGTGGCTATACCCATTTTAGTTCCATCTGCATTAGTTTTTGAACATATCACAGAGGAGCTTCTCCATTGGAGTGTTCCCTATGGTCTTGCGGAAGAAAAGGAGCTCCACGCGTTCAGAAGTGATAAACCTCAGAGATGGGAGGAGCAGGAGCAATTTCCCAAACCTGAACAGGAAAGAGGGCACCGTCAGTTCTATTATCAGCACCTGAGCACAAGTGCTGGGGCAGTGCCCTCCTGGGAAAGGAGGGAGCAGGGAGGAGTGGGCAAGAGGGACCCAGGGTGAGTAAGGGGGATTTGCGGAGAAGGCCCCGTTCACTGGAGTGGTTGCCCTCCCTGGCCCCTGGCCCATGTGTCCCCCTCCCATATATTTAGTTGAGGAGTGTGCTGAAAATTTGTTATGTATAAAGATTATAAAGTGAGAAGTTCTTTATATTAATAATATGTACAATTATTATGATAATTAATACTATATATTTGAAAAGAATGTAAGTTCCCCTCTGTAAGCCACCTAGGATGGCAGAGTGGCCATTAGTGAAAATATTCTTAAGTAGAATAATTTATGGCTAAGATACTTATCCAGAAAACAAGTAATTTAAACAAGCAGTTTAAAATAAGAGCCATTTGCCAAGCAGAGTTCCCCAGTGCAGAGCCGGCGGGAAGGGAAAGCCCCAAAGGACAGACGGGGGATGGGACCTTCCTTGCGTAGGAGGCCTGACAGCCTGCGTCAGGGCCTGTGTCCAGAAGGCCACTCCCAAGGGAGGCCACTGCGTGATCAGCTTCCTCCGCGGGGTCTGTGGGAAGGCTTCCTGCCTGCCACTCATCCAAGATTGCTTTCTCCTGCGAGTGCAACGGAGTGGCACTGAGCGGTTGTCCCCATCCCTGTGCCTTCCCTGCTTCTGTGTTTCTGAACTAAGGAGAATCAGGAGGAAACAAGTGTGAAGCCAGGTAGAGAAATTGATTTTCCACACTGCAGGCATTGATCCACTGGTAGGTCACAACTAGTCTTTTAAAACACACACACACACACAAATATCAGAGTGAATTACACCAAGTGAGGGCAGGTATGGTTTGGTGGGATTTCGTTTCACTGTCAGTGTGTATTTGAGTTATGGTGGAAATTGTCTTTCTTCCTGGGTATTGCAGTTTTTAAAAACTGCAGCGTGGTCACTGTGCCAGCAGCTCTTAGAGAACTCCAGGTTGCTCTCTCGCTCTCGGTTGGTACTGAACTGCCATAGAAATGATGTAGGAAATCACAACCAGAATTTTGAAATTTGATAGAAAACCAATATGCCTGGACATTTCTGGAGGCTGATCCCAACAGAAACTCAGCCAAGGAGGGCTTCTGCTGTCTGCTGACTGCGATGGTCATTCTCAGGCTGCTATGTCGAGTCTTGAAAGAGTGCTCTTCCCGTGCAAAGTGGCATATGCCTAGTATGCTTTGATTCTCTTCCAAGGGAAGTTACGTCTTCTTGTGACCATTTGTCAGAGTGGAGGTGGTTGAGTGTGTCCATGTTAGCTTAATTCTTTGAGGGGACTGTTGTGAGCCCCAAGATAATCAGGTAATATCGTCTGAAATGGCCAGTAGATTCCTGGAGGCCAAGTGCTCCGACCTTGCTGAGGCTACACTGTATCTGCTGGTGGTGCTGGGCCAAGCTGGACCGGCCCAGAGCCCCTGCCCCCCTCACCTCCACAGCCACACTCGCAGCCTGCCCAGACCCAGCAGGGGCCAGGCTGTTGTCTGTGCACATGGCTATACAAGGGCATCCTAGAGGATGCCCCTCTGTACCTCCATCACACCTTGTCATGCTCCCTCAGAACTACCTTTGCCTCCTCATTTTTCTTTCTATTTCATGACTACCTCCTCTCCCGATAACTCCTCTTCCCTTACATCACCCAAGTGCCAAGTCTAACTCATTCCTGCTTCTGGAGACACTCAATTCTGCTGCTTTCTTTCCACCCCAGGGAGCCGACTTCATGGGCTCCCCTGGAGGATGGCAGTGTCCTCAGCATTTGCTGCTACACTAATCCACACGAAGTCCAGCTCTGCGAGCTCGCACCTGCAGGCTCCCCTCTGCCTGCCAATCAGATATGGCCTGGTTGGCCTTCAAAGTCCTGAACGGTGCTGTTTTCACCTAATCTGCCTTCTCACGGGAAGCCATCTGTCGCACCTTCCAAACTGGGTTCTTGTCCTAAGAACACATGCAAGTTCAACTCTCTCTTTCTCTCTCTCTCGCTTTGTAAATGATGATTTCTTTTCATTTAGACCTTAGCTTGCCTTGCAAGCCCAGCCCTGCCTCCACAAAGGCCCTGTCAGTTCTGCTGTGCACGCTTGCCCCCAGTGGGTTTCTGCCTCCTTCAGACCCACACAGCCCCCCCAGTACCTGACGAAGTCAGTTCTCACCTTGAGTGTGGTCACTAGTGCCCGACATCCCTGGAAAGCACTTTCATCTTACACACATTTTGGTCCCCACTCATGGGGCCTTGCGCTGTGCCTGGCACACAGCAGACGCTGGTTGACCTGAGAACCTTGTCCTGTTTAATCAGTGCAGCCCCGATGAGACGGAGCCTGACAGGTGGGCAAGGAGTGAAGAGGTGGAGGGACAGGTGGGCAGGGAGGCAGGTTGAGTCACCTCACAGGCTGGCGAGGATGATGGGCCTCGCAGTGCTGGCTCAGCATCACCTGGGACTGGTCCTGCAAGGCCTCCACGTGCTCAGGATCCTTTAGGCCCTGTGTTTCTGGAGAGGAGCAGCCTGCGATGAGCTCCTGGCCTGGCCTGCCCTGTTCCTCACAGTCAGCCAGGCCCTCAGGAGGGGGGCGCTCAGCCCTGCTCCTCTCTCCTCCTGCCCCCCCAGGGAAGAAGTCTGCACAATCTGGGTCTGTGCGGGTTATTGGAGGGAAAGTGAGAGGTATACGGAAGTCATTGGAATGCCCATCCTTCGTTCCCAGCTACTTCTCTGGTTGGACAAAGACTCAGCTACCTGGTTTAAAGAGAACCAGGGCCTTCATGCAGGCGAACTCCGTGGGATCCACCGCCAATGCCCGGAACCGTGAGATAGTTTCCTGCAGAAAGCGCATCTCTGCACTGGCCAGCCCCAGCCGGCCCTGGGAAGTGCCAGCAGCCACGGCCTCGGGTGGGGCCAGGAGGGGGCAGCTGTCCAGAGGCAGAGACCACTGTATGGCTCCCAGGAGGAAGAGTTCACTCCAGGCCTCCTCCAGCAGGATCACCTGTGCTCAGGGAGGGAAGAAGAGTGATGGCTGATCCACAGCATCTCAGGCTCAGCTTGCAACCTCTGCCACCTTCGCGGGTGCCCTAGGACAGGAAAGACTGTTCTTCTGGCCTACTGACATTAGCCAGAGGCCCAGAGCTCTGGGATTTGGTACCATCTGGCCCGGCTGCCTGAGTTCCATCCAGAGCCTCACCTGGAACATTTAAGGAAGCCTAGAGCTATGGGAAGGTGGGTGGCCTTGGGGACACACCCCATGATCCCTTTAAGTTGAGCATGCTCAGGAGACACAGCCCTGATTTCTGATCCAAACCCTGGCTTGGGGCTTGGACCCCCCACGTGCCTTCTCCGGATTTATCGTGACAGGTTGGTCGGCTCGCCCATGGGAAATCCAAGGAGCACCCAGAGCTGAAAAGGTTGGGCTAAAACTCAAGCCCTGAAGTCAGAGGCCTTTGTGCTCCAAGGGGTCCCAGAGCCGCCCACTCATGCTTCTCAAGGTATGCTGACCACCCTGTCACATATGTGTCTGTAGGACATGAGGTTTTGTCTAGGAGGAGAAGAGACCCGGGGACCGCAGTCACCACCTTCAAGACCCTGGTCCCTGTGTGTCCTGGCCATCATCTTCCCCTGGGTGCTCGCCCCAGCCATAACCTCTGCCCAGAGATGTGACAACACTAACAGTCATCATGAGACACGCAGCCTGACCTATTGACACATACGTGTCCCCAGCCTGGATGACTTAAGGGGGTCGCCTGGTGGGTATACCTGATCCCGGAAGGGTAGGTTGGAGAACACAGGCAGGTTCTTGGCCCACTTGACAGCCATGAAGAGCAGGCGAGCTGACGTCTCATGGACGCTGTCCAGACCACAGGGGGAAGAGGATGAATATGGGGATGCGGGGAACTCAGGGTCATTGCTGGTGACGTCGATGTTCTCATCAGCTGTTGGAGGAAGAGGCTGTGACATAAGCCGCCGCTTTTCAGCAGGAGGCAGGGGTTGCTCAGGGGCCTGAGTGTGAGGATAAAAGCCCTTCTCCCACCTACCATCCTCGGGCTCCAGCTTAGCACAGGTTTCAGCCGTTACCAGGCTTGCCATGAAGTGGTGATGGCCCAGAGGTGTGAGGGCCCCAGTCCCCAGAGCTCTGGCTGCAGACACAGGGGTGGGGCCCTGCGGGCTGGGCCCTGCTGGAGCTGGGAGAGCCACCAGCGGCCCCAGCTGGGGTTCCCTGTTTGGTTCCACGCCGTCAGGGCAGACCTGGGCGGTGCTGCGTGGCTGACGCTCATTCTGCACAGCTGGGGAAGCAGAAGGGTCAGGGCGCCCCACCCACCATGCGCCCCCATGTCTCTGCCGTCCCTCTTTGGGTTGACTACCCGACTCACCATCCTGGTTCATGCCTGCCTGCAAACACTTCCTCAGGCGACAGGCCTGGCACTGGTTCCGGTGGGCCTTGTCCACTGGGCACATTCCTGCACCCACCTGGCACCTGCAGGCAGAGGGGTGCCCCAGGCGTCAGTGTCCCACTCAGGCATTGGACGGCGGGCTCTGTACATGTTCACTCTGTACCTTTCTTCCCTGAACACCCCTACCCTCCCGGAGCTCTGCTGGCGGGTCCAGCCCCCCACCTGTAGATAAGCCTCCGCCTCACACTCCTCTTGAAGAAGCCACTGCAGCCGTTGCAAGTGTAGACGCCGTAGTGCTTCCCGCTGCTGCTGTCCCCACACACGCGGCACTGCAGGGGGTGGCCCGCACCTGGGGGACAGGGTGGGCTGGGCCAGGGTGGGCTCGCACATCCCTCCATCCTCTTCACGGACCCTCTTTACCCCTCATTCCCTCTCCCATCTGGAAAAGTGTCTCCCCCTCATACTACCCCTGCCCCACCACATCCACACAGCTTCTGCCATCACACCTCCCTCTATGGCCAATTTGCAACAAGTGTATAGGCTCTGCCTCCGTGTCCCACCTGCCATTCCCTCTCTGCAGGTGGCTCCAGGCCCCATTATCCCACAGAAACATTCTTGACAACACCACTGGGACCTCTGCTGACACACCCTAAGGGTGCTTCTCTCTGCTCTTCTTCCTCTCAGCTCAGTCGGCCTGCGCTGGTTCTGCTGACCCTGTGTTTCTAGGATTCTGGGTTTGCCAGGGGTTCCAGTGGGGCTGGGCCTGAGTTGCTCTGTCTCTTTTCATGGTGCACACCTCACTCCCCAAGGGCCAAGATCTTACCTCCAGGAAAGCCGTACCTGTCTGTTCCTCCCCCAGGCCCCAACTGCTGGGAGGCTCCTTCTTGGAGGCAGCCACAGCCATTGGGGAGCTTGTGGGGGCCGTAGCCCAAGTCCAGGCAGGGCCCCGGCAGCCTCAGCCTTCCTGCCTGAGAGTGGCCTCCTGGGACACTGAGCTGCAGCCTCTGCTTCCCTCTCTCTCCTCTGCCCCTCTGTGCCTCTGCCTCTTTCTGTGTGAACCTCTCCCTTTCCCTGGCCCTGGAGATCCCCCTCTGTCCCTATCTCTCTCCCCGTCTCCGCTGTCTGTCTTCCTGCCTCCTCTCCCCTCCGTCTGACTCAGGAGCTGCCGCAACTTCCCCTTACAGCGGCCGTTCTGGCTCAAGGAGATTTCTTCCAGGGCAGCGCTGGACGCAGCTTATGATCCTCTTAATCTTTACTGTCTCTGCGAGGATCAACCGGCCACACCTGCAGCATTACCAAGGTGCCGCTGGAGCCGGCCGGTCGTGCTGGCCGGTTGTCCCTGGGTCCCTTCTGCCAAGTGCTCTCAAGCTATTTGTCATCTAATGCCAAGTCCTGAAGGGAGGTGTGGACTCCACTTCCTCCAGGACTTTAATCTTTTTGTGGTGCTCAGTATGTTTCTGGGGACAAGTGTGTGGCCAAGGCATGTGTGCTTGTGTGTGGCCTTGCGCGTGTGGTGCTCACTGTGGGTTTTGGGTAAGTCCAGCTCTTTGCCCCAGTGGTTCTCCTCTAATTCCTTGAATAAGGGACTGTTGAAAGCCCAGGATTTGAGGGTCCTAGCCCCCCTGAAAGACTAGCACTCCCCAAAACCTGGCACAGAGACAGTACCTATCACACATGGGAATGGGCCCAATGTGGGGTCTGAGGATGGCTTGGAGGTGGGGAGGCCTGGGCTGCAATGTAGAGGGTCACCTTCAGGCCTGCAAGGTGGCAGAAGAGGAGTTGGCAGATGATTTTCCTACCCACCTGGAGAGCTAGGCCTGCAGGACAAGAGGGGATGAGGACACAGCGCCTGAGGCTGGCTACAGGCTCTCGGGTGGCCGCCCCTCCTTTCCCTGACTTGGCCTCGCAGCCCTGGGCAGGCTGGCCCCTCAGCTGTCCCCAGGCCCATTCTTCCCAGCCTATGCCCAAAGCCCGGGAATGGTTATGAGAGGAGGGGGTAGAAGGAGTTTACCTCCGTGGACGAAGTACCAGCCCCAGAGGGAGGGTGGAGAGAGCAGAGATGGACCTGAGTTCAAATCCCTGCTCCCTAACAGGCCAGTCATGTGTCCCTGAGCAACCTGTCTATAAAAAGGGGTAACAAAAGTACCTGTCTTGTAGCGTAATTAGTGGCAATAAGTAAGATCATTCTCAAAGTGCTTCAGCACCTGGTACTTAGTAAGAGTATAAAAAATGATAGATGCTGTTGTTATTATTATCATTTCTCAAGGGTATTGAGAGGGTCACGGAGCAATCCTCAGTAAACAGCCTCTTCTTTCCCTGTCCCACCACTTCCCGCCACCTACCTCATGCCCAGGCCGGAGCAGAGAGCCCCATGTTGGTCTGGAGGGGGACCCCCCATCCTCAGCAGACCAGAGCTCACCTCTGGGGTGGCCTGGGGAGGGGTCGGCCCAGCCTTAGGGCCCAAGGAGGACAGGGGACAGTGTGAAGCTTCTGGGAAGATCGTGCAGTTGAGGGGACAGATGAGGAGGGGCAGGGCTCTATGTAAGTGGCATTAACTCTCATTGTGACAGAGAAGCACTATTGGGGATTTGGAAAGTCAGCTTGAGGGACTTTGCTGGGTAATCTGCTCTCTGGGGCCTCAGAAGATCGAGGCCACTGAGCTGAGGCCTCTCGCCCTTCCTCTGCCTCTGTCGTCACCCCTCCACCTGTTCCTCCTGCCAGGCAGCGCCTGGCGACCCTCCGCTGTGGTGTCTCTAGCTCCACCTCACCTCCAAGGCCAAGTTCAAGGCCCTTGAACTTGGTTGACCAGTCCTTCCTTCCCAAAGCTCCCCTCTCTCTCTTCTTCGGGAGCCCGGACCTTCACTGTCTTCCTTCCAGCTCAGAACTTGTCACCTCCTCGGTGTGCCCCTGAAGTTGGCCCCAGGAGACCGTTTCGCCCCCTCCCTGGGCAATCCTGTACCCATTCCTGGCTTCCATGCTCGCTTCACACCACACGCATGCCGGGGGCTCTGCCCTGCGCTTCTAGCCTCAGATGCACCCAGAGTCTGGTGTGGAGACTAACTCCACAGGCCCCAGGAACCCCTCCACACCTTGTCTGCACAGGGATGGGCACTGAAGCCCGGCACTGGGGCGCCTGGGAGCATGTGTGTGCTGGGAGGAAAGTGCCCAAAGCTAAGCGGAGGGCCTCAGATCCTAGAGCCCTGAGCCCAGGGAGAGCTGCCAGCAAAGGAGCTGAGCGGGAAAGTCAGGATGGCGTGGGCTGTAGGGGACAGGGAGCGGAGGGTTCAGCCCCTCCAAGTGTCCTGTGTCGTCTTTTGTATCATGAATAAAAAGAGTGGGAAAGCTACTCAGGAAGAGTTCGTACACAAATACTTGCAGTATCATGTTTGAAACTCACAGCAACCCTCTAAAGAATTTATCCTCATCAGCCTCAACTCACAGATGAGGAAACTTGAGTTTCAGAGAGGTGAAGCTTCAAGGCCACACAGCTGCTGAGTGGTGGAGGAGATTGAGGATAGAGACAGTGTTCAAGCATGTTTCCACCAAGGTGCCCTCCAAGGAGTCCCCAATATCTCTGGCTTTAGCAGCAGGAGTCTGGTGTCCTTGGCTAGTGCCTCAGAAGATGGGGCGAGCCCATGGGTGGGGCAGGGGGCGGACTGAAAGCAGGGACCCACGGAGAAGGGAAGGAGACAGAGCTAAGAGCTTTGTAGGAAGGGCAGCATTAAGGACCTTTTTCTATCAAAGGGGATATTAAAAACAATATTTAAGAAGAGGAGTGCCCTTTAAAATTGGCAGTCAAAGGAAAAGGAGTCAGAGAGAGCGAGGCTAAAGCTGGTGGTGGGTCGACTACCTGATAGCCGAGCAAGCCCGAGGGATTGGTTAGTACCAGCAGGGGCTGGCTTTGGCCTGGAGAGGGGCTTTTTGTGTCTTAAGACTCTTGCTAATTTGAAATGAAAATGAACAATGCTAATAATAAGAAATACTTGTTAAGAAATTGTTAAGTGCCAGATACAGTTCTAAGGGTCTATATGTGTGAACTCATTTAATCTTCACTCAGCACTACCTTTCTGGCTGTGTGAGCTTGGGCAAGTTATTCTGCCTCTCTGTGTTTGTTTCATCATCTCTAAACTGTGTCAACTAGTGCCCCCTTGGGGTTGTGCTGGGATTAAAGGAGATGACACTAGAGGCATTACCCCAGGCCTACATGGGAGGGAGGAGGGGCGTGGAAGCAGGTCAGAGGGCAGAGGCTGGGGGTGACCGCTGTGAGGGGGACCGAGGGAGGAGCTTTGGAGCAAGCTCTGAGGCCCGGCTGTGTGTGGTCCTGTGTGTGGTCGGGTATCAGATTTTCCCTGTCCTCAGCAGGGAGGCAAATACTGGGAAAAGGTAGATACCAGGACCGTTCCCTGACTTTGTTCCTCCCAGCAAACTCACTGGAGGACCACAGGGAAGGAGTTCAAGGCATCGGGAAGGGTCCTCCAGGTGGAGGAGGAGGGTCCTTATTTTCCCTGCAGGTCTTTTCTCTGACTTGCCCAATCCCCTCTCATCCTCCAGGCCTGTTTGAGCTCATCTTTTCCATGCCAGCTGCCCTGACTCCTCAGTCCATCCCGCTCTCCCTCTAGAGGCCTGTTCCGGGCCAGATCTTGTTCTTAATATTGAACCTCACTCCAGGTCAACTTTCTCTCCTCAGTCCAGATGGAAGATTCCAGGGACCGGGTTCAGAGTTTCAGGTCACTTTGACATGTGGATAACAAGGTACATAATGGACAGGAATCTGTTTTCAAGTTGTCTAAATTTTCTAAATATTCTATAGTGGGTATGTATTACACTAGAATGGAAAAAAATAAGTAAGTAAATAAACAAAAATAAAAATCATTGAAAATAAAGATACCCACAGCGTTCGACCTGCCCGGGCTTACTCTGTTTATTTTGTCTTCATCCTGATGACCCCTCACTCATTCTGATTCCTGTCGAGGTCCTCTCTCCCTGGGCCCTCGGTTCTTTGGCAGGGGAGGCCCAGCCAGAGCAGAGGCTGCTCTGGAAAAGGCTGCGGGTCTGCAGGGCGGGGGCGGGGAGAATCTCCCGATCTGTGGCCACCAGCTGCTGGGGCAGACGCCAAAGGATTACTCAGCCCAAAGCCTCGAATCTGCTGATGAAGCTGACAGAGGCTACCTTATCTCTAATACTATTATTCTTCCAGGGGACAGGTCAGCAACTTCCTTCTGACTCCCTGGGGGTCTGGGGCGGGGGCCGGGGCTGCGGCTGGGGTCTGTGATGAGGGCTGCAGAGTTGACTTCCCTCTGGACACAGAAGACCCTGGCAGGTAAAGCCGCGTGTGCCCAGCCTGTCTTGCGCCCGTCACACCCTGGGTCACAGGCTCAGGTCTGAAAGATGACCTGGGTTCTGCCAAGGGAGGAGGGTCTGGCTCCTGGGGTGACCCCGGCGGGCGCGCTGGGCTTGTGGGCCACGGTGCCCGTCCCGGCAGCTGCGGGCTTCCTGTGTGGGGCAAGCCTGGTTCGCAGCATTTGGTGCTAGAAGCGTGTCTTCTGGGATTTCTTAACCCTCCTCTCACCCCCACCAAGTTTTCACTCTCTCTGAGCTAGTGGCGAGTGGTGGGGCTGTGGGGCTCGGGACCCAGCAACTCCACTTCCAGGCAACTGTTTCACAGAAGCTCTCACAAAGGCTCAATTGTAGGGTTGCTCCCAGCAGCAGTACAGGAAAACCCCATTTGCAGACAGCGGGCTGGGGCAAGCATGCAGCACCGGGCGGACTTCGCGGGCCGGGTTTCTACCCTCCTACGCGGAGAACCCGCAGCAGCGGGGCCTCAGCGTCAAAGCCAGCGACAGAACAGCGTGGACGGTGTGATTTTAAGTGTCACGGGGATCTCTGGCCAAAGAGATCTCATTG